ACTCACAAACTGCTCTAAAGAACAAAAACCAAGTATGGACGCTCTCAGATGAATAACTCTGTCTGAAGACTTCGCCTTGGAGAAAAAGGGAAACACCTATATTCCCACTCTTGAGCTGCTTTATACTAATTTAATTGAGAGTCCTTTGAAAAGACTTTTCAACTACCCTAGTTCTGTTGAGAACGAGACTGGTAACAATAATAAAAGATGGCTTTACACAAGCCAAATCGACTTAATGATGGCCTTGCTAAATCATGGAGCATGTGGACTGAGACTTTTAGCATCCATTAGAAAAAAAATTCCAATTTTTTATTCTTTTCTTAACATTACTTGTAGCCTTTGCTGGTTAGTTTCTCAATAATCATTTGTCTTGAGCTAGTGGGATTTCTATGTACTGTCTGTGTATTATGCCTGCTTATAACTTTATTTGAAGTGGCAGTGGTGCTTTGTGATTAAAAATAGGATACTCCAAAGGGATTTGCTATTACCTAATGTTAGTCAATTAAAAACAAATTCTGGCTTTAACTCCTTTTTCTGCATTTTTTTCTAGCTCATGAATGACTTTTCATTTAAAAAGACCCATTTCATGACACATCTATGAACCTCCCATTGGAGGCTACCATCTCCTGCTAAGGGCATGGAAGTAAACTCAGAAACTGAAACAGATGCCTTCGCCCACAGATTCTAAAATCAGAGGGTATTCAGAAACCGCCCCACAAATCTGAGAGCAGAGTGGGAAACAGGAACTGTTAAAAACTGAAATGTTACTGAAGTACTTTCTTCCTCTTCCGGTGAGAGAAATGCATTCCTTTCTAGGAAGTTCAGTACTTCCTTAACAAATCCGTAAATTAGAATTGGAATTCATGGCACAACAGCTCATTTAGGGGAAAAGATAGTTACTAATAGATGAAAAGCCCTATAACGGTTCTCCGATGCCTCGCAAAAGTGTACAGGAATTGTACCAAAGTAGGGGGGAAAGGCATTTATTTTTCTAAGGACATGTTTCATATCACATGTTTCAAGGTTTTACTTACAGCTTTGGTTACATACATACATATTATATACATACAAGTACTTCTTGGTATGTGAATCACACACAAATGGGAAAGAAAAGAATTGGCCAACTGTAGTTAGAATTGACCAGAAGAAGCTGAAATGATCACATACATTTTGAGTAATTATAGCACAGTGAACCCTCAGATTTACAAAAAAGTTGCTCTCTATCAGCTGACAAGAGGCAGCTGTGAGGACACCCCGCCCCTGTGAGAAACAGACACTGAGGAAGGGCCCGTGTGTTAAAAGCACAGAAGCAGCTGACTGCCATCTCAGCAGGTGGGCGACAATCGGTTTGGTAAAGAATACAAACAGGAGGAAGTTGTGCTCATAAGCTTAAATGAGGTGCTGAAAATGGCAAAATAAGAGTTAATTAACAGAGAGAGAAAGACCCAGAAAGGGAAATTTAGTTCAGAAGGAAATGGTTTTTAAAGGTTTTTGTTGTTGTTTCAGAATTTTAGAAAGTAGTAACAATTTGCATTCTAACTTGCAGGGATCAGTGATGACGGTATTTGAAAAATGGCAGTATCATTTCTTTAGTATTTTATCTTTAAGCAAGCAGATATTTGTTTTTCATTAACCTTTTAACATAATGTTTAAGAAACCAATAACCCTTTGTCACCACACAAGTGATGACAAAGAGAGTTGAGATCCCCAGCTCCACATAACTGCTGAGGGGGATGGCATCCTACCTGTAATTCCAGTACCAGAAAGGCAGAGACTGGACACTCAAGAGTATGCTGGCTACTTAGATTAGCCCTACTGATGAGCTCTGAGTTCAACTGAGAGAGACGCTCCCTCAATCAGTAAGGTGGACAGCAATCGAGGAAGACCCCCGACATTAACCTATGGCCTCCACTCTTGTCATGCATACATGTGCTAGCACACACATACATACACTTGCACACACACACATAACAAATATATACTTGTGTGAAAAAACAGCGCTTTGCTATTTCAAACTTAAAGCAAGATCATAATTTTATAATGAGAAGAGAAGTGACCACATAGTCTGATAAGTTACAAATTGGTCCTAACAGTTTTTGCTGGTGTTTTTAAATCTTGGGTTCCAAACTCAAGCAAGAAAATGTCAATTGCCAATGCAGAACAAACAAAACAATAACAAAAAACAAACCAAAATTGTTGTTCCTTAATTCAGAATCATGTGTAAACATTAAAAACACGTATTAAAAACCACATGTAGTAGGAAAGCAGTGACACTCCTGTAATTGCATTGCTCAGAGGGGATTGGGAGTTCAAGGTCAGCCTGGGCTAAATACTGAGACCACGTCTCAATCAAAACAAAAACCACTACTCCCGGCAGAGTCTATAGAACTTTAGCTGATTTTATTTTGACCTGCATTGGTATTGATTTATAATTTTTCTAAGCACAGCTTCATGGTTTGAAAATACTATTATGTCCTGAATTTTCCAGGTCACTTCAGGTTTTGAATATTCTGTTTAATGTCAAATGACTTTAGTTTGTAAAATATGGTTGCTGTATTTATAGAGTTACTGTCATAAAAGTAAAAGGCCTTTAGCAGTGTGTAGCAATTCTATTTCTGGGCCATGATTGCCGAGTTAAATCAAATAAAAGTTAAGTTCAGCCTGTGAATCTACCTAATCAAAGGGTATCTTAGGATAATGAGGCCATTTTAACTTTTATGATTTTAAAAACACGGTTTTCACATATATAGCTATAAAGCTATGAATGGCTAATCATCCTTGCCATATAGAAAATGAAAACGTACTTGAGAGTTATCGTGCTAATGTGTATTTCTGTTAATTAAAAAGGATTGGGTGACAGGCCTTTGTTTCCAGACTGTAATTGTTATTCTCGGTAGGTCAGAACTGAAGGGATTCATTGGCATTTGCGAAACTGAAGAATGATAATTATCTGAGGGAATCTAAGTTTTATTTGATTCATTATGCCACGCAGAACCATGGCTAGGTTGCGAACGGCAACATTTAGAACATTTGGGAGCTCCCCTCAGCTTTAATTACTATCCTTTGTAACAGGAGGTTTGTTCCTAACTCCACTTTTTTTTTTTTTAAAAGAAGTTCATGCCATCAGGAGGCGGGAAGTTCAGAATGGTTATTTATGACTCCTAAAATTAACGGCGATGTTCCCCAAGTCTACCACTCTCCCTCCCACGTTTCCCTGCAGGTTGGGGTGTGAGCAGCCTGGGGATGCTGCGGCGAACCCACTGGGAGTGGAAGACAGGACTTTACCGGCGACACTTCGGCACGGTTGCTATGAGTGATTCACTCGCGTTTGGCACATTTGTGACAAGGAAACCTCCTTCCGCCGCCTTCTCTGAGCTCTCCTCCGACTTTCTCCAGCGCGTTAGCCTTTAAGGAGAAGCGAGAGCAGGTGGGCACACAGCCGCTCGCCCAGCCCTCCACCCCCCTGCTCCTTTCCCTAATTTAGCAGTACTTCCGGCCGCGTGACATCATCCCCCGCACAGGGTGACGTAAGCGGAGGGTGACGTGTGTGCGGCGAGGAGCGCGCTGACGTTGCTATTTAAAGGTCCTCCTGCGGGGAGGATGGAGACACAGCGCGAGAACCCGGCGTGCGGAGCGGAAGAGGCCTTGGCGCTCCCGAGCCAGCGTAGGAGCCGAGCGCGCTGCCGGCCCGCCGCTGGCCGCTAGGGTAGGGGAAGGAATAAGGGACGGACCGACGGACCGGCCGGCTAATCCCCTCCGGGCTTGTCTCTTCCCCGCCCTGCTCCGAGCCCGGGCCCCGCCTCCGCCGCGCCCCACCTCCTCCGCCGGCCTGCGGCGGCGGCGACGCTCCGCCCCTCGAGCCGGGAGGGCCGCGCTCCCGGCCCCGCCCCGCCCCGCCCCCTCTCCCGCTCGCCCGCCGTGCTCGCCTCACGCCGGCGGCGCGGACCGGGAAGCGGCGCCCTCGGCTGCGCTCGGTTCGGAGGCGCTCTGTGGAGGCTGTGGCAGCGACGGGCGCCAGGCCGCCCCGGGGCCGGCGGAGGCGGCCGCTGAGGGGAGCGTGAAGAGGCAGCGGCGGCCCGGGGAATGTGAGGCGGCACGGAGCGGGAGAGACGAGCCGGGGTGGGAGCGCGAGCCGCGGCTGCCGTGCCTCGGACGAGCCGCGTGCCTCTCTCGCCTCAGCGCGCGGCCGCCAGGAGCTGGGGGCTGGGTGCCGGGAACCGCGCGGGGCTGGGTTCTCTGATTCATTCATTCGCCGCCGTCTGGAGCCCGAGGCCGCCGGTGCTGCGAGGAGAGGCGGGAAGAGGGGGCGGCCGCGAGCGGGGCTCCATTGTGCTCGGCGGGGGCCGGGAAGCCGAGGGAGGTGGGCTTGGGCCCCCCGCGCTGCTCCCCGGCGGCCGCTGCGCCCCCAGCTAAGCGCCAGCCTGGAAATGGCTCCGCTGATGCTCTTCGAGAGAACGAATCGATCCTTCCCAGCCTTCTCTGCCTGCTCTCCACCTCCTCTCTGCTCCGAGTCTTAGGAGGACGAACATTGAAAGGACGGATTCCGATGTGGTGTGCCGTGCACATCGCGAGCGGCAGGGCTTTGCACTTCGAGATTTTTTCTATATAATTTTTTTTTTAATGTCAGCGACGGGAGACGGGCATTGCTGCCTGTAGGATTTTTTTTATTAAAGTGCACGTCGCGTTGGGTTGCACGCTCCACCCCTAGGGACCTGGTGTGGTGAAATTTGAACCCACCGCCTTAGCCCTGAGAAGGCCAAGTTACCTGGCTCCCTGGAGTAGTGGCGAGGGGGATGTGAGCGAAATGACCAGCGAACTCGTTTTTTATAAGACTCGGTGAAGCTGGGTTTTGCGTTTTCCTTCATGCACACACGGATTTTGTGGAATAGTTGAGTGCCGTATTCTCCGCGCAACCTTTTCAAATTCCAAATAAGCAAATGTTTGAACGTTTTGGTATCGGCGCGAGTGAAATCCTTTTGCCGACAAGAACTAACTGAACAGTCAGCATCGTTGAGTTACCTCCGGAAAAGATCTCGGGGGTTGAAAAGCAACTGCAAAATAACAGACGGAGAAAATTCCTTGGACGTTATTTTTGTAGAAACTTCAGAGCAAGTTTTCATTGGGCAAAATGGGGTAAGGATTTTGTGCTTATCACAGCTTTAAATCTGTTTGTGCATGTGTGCTGCTGAGCGGTGGGGGTGGCTGCTTTTAAATACTCCCCCTTGCTCAACGGGTACTACTTTAAAATAGGGATTATATTTGTGTTGTTGTAGAGCGACACCAGAGGTCCTAATTAGAACGTGTAATGTTGTTTGTTACAGTCTTATTAATGATTTGTGTGAAGAGAATGTGCTGGTCTACCCTGTGCCTCTTCATTGGTCAAACCGCTGTGTAGGTTACCAAAATCTTGCCATCTTAGATTTGGTTGACCTGGTATCGTTCGAAGAGAAGAGTTGCATTCTTCCAGGACTTTGTAGAAATAATCAGTTGCACAAAGGGACGATTGTAATGAGTAGTTAGACTGCAGTCCTTGAAACCGATCCCTCGTAAGTTGTTGCCCTCGCTGTGCCCGGTGTTTTATCCTTGAACACCCGAAGCTGAGTGTACAGCGTTAGCTTACTGGGGATTTAAACGAAAATCTCCGCGTCTCACTATTGCGGTCTCCACGGTGTGGTCGCTGGAGAGAGCAAGCTTTTGATTAAAGGGACTTGTTCACTTTTTCTGCTTTTCTCTTTTAAGCTCAGACCTTTGGCTTGTGTCAGCAGTGTTAGATTTACATCCTCAACATAAGCCAGCTGAGAGTGCCTTTTCCAAACTTTTAATTCTAAATAGTGCAGCTTAATAAAATGCGAGGAGCTCCTCTTTATTTAAGCTGGAAACCCGTGTTACGGGAGTGGTGATCTATTGATTTCTTTAGGGAATTGTTAATGATGTCTCTGAATTCTTCCCGTGGTCGAATTAATACCGATAAATATGTAGTTGAGGGACAAGGTTTGGAATGATGGATTTTTGGAATTCATTGTGATGGTTTATTAGGAGCACACACTTTAAAGTTCTTGTAGTTTCGTTTTGTTCTGGCAATTGAAATTTGAAGTTTATTAGCTTATACAACTTTGAAAATGTAGAACACGTGTCACAGGAGTCCTTCCTCAGATATTAATTATGGGTTGGTAATTACGTTTAATACTTAAATGACAAGGATAAGAATGTAATTAAAATACCTTACTCTATTTCTGGTGCTGTTAATAGCTTAAATTGCTTAACCTTTATGGACTGTATTCTTATCTGTAAAATAAGGAGTATAAATCAACCTGTAAAAGTGTTTTTTTTCTCCTTATTTAATAGTCAATTGTTGACTTTTTTCTTCTAAACTGTTAAAGCACTTAAGCTAGAAAATAATGGTGTTTGAAAATGTTTTGAATCATTTGCACCAATTTTAAATGAGAAAATACTGAAAAGAATATTAATATTGGCTTCCCTTGATTACGTGTAGCTCCACGTTTAAAATGTGTTGTAAAGTCGTGTTGGAGTGTCACGTGCACTCGTAGCTGCACACAAAATCAAGTGCAGGTTTTCATCAGCAGACTGAATTCTCCAGACTGGAGTGGCAGCGGCGTGAAGAGATTCCGTTTTCTGTGTCTCTCATTACATGAATGTCCACTGTTTTACCAAGTGAAGACTGAGATCAATTTAATACTAAAGGAGATTAGTGTTTTAAATATGAATCTAAGCTACTTACATGAAACACATTTAGACACTCAGCATAATTTGTTTATAAACAACTCACTAGCCTTTTTGTTAGAAGTATTTTAAGGGGCTGGAGGGATGGCTCAGGGGTTAGGAGCACTTGTGCTCTTTCAGAGGACCTGGGTTCAATTCCCAGCACCCACATGGTCACAACTCTGTAACTCCAGTTCCCAGATCTGATACCGATCTTTGACCACTGCAGGTGCCAGGCTTGCAAGTGGTGCACATACATACATACACAGGCAAAACACTGAAACACATAAACTAATATTTAAAAAAGGAGTAAAACAAAATTTTAAAAATGACTGTAATAGAGTCCTGATTGGTGAGTAATATAATTTGAGTTTGTGCCTCCAAAATTTTTTAGGTACCAAAACTTCATGGCCAATGTGATGATAACTAGTATTAAGAGATCTAGAAAGAAGGGATGGAGATATGGCTCAGCAGTTAAGAGCACATACTTTTATTTTCCCCACAATCTGTATTTGGGAATATGGCCCTTTCTTATTGAGGGTGATTTGGTGGAAGTAGACAAGAGTGTCCTACAGCAAAGGCATCTGCCGAAGCTTCTATCCTTTGTAAGTGAATAAGCATAGCCATCTGGGCCTCTTTGAAACAGAAGTTAGTATTATATGACCTTTAAAGTTTTCCCAGGCAGTCCTAAATTACCTTACTTAGACGAATATCCAAAATTTCATGTGGTTAAGGAAGTTTATGTATTACAGATGGATTTTTGATGAATGTTATAATATAGTTTACATAGCTTTAATTGTGGGTTACAATTAAGGAGTAAAGGAATTATTTTCTTAAACTAAAATAAATGATTAGGCAGGAAAAAATGACTCCTGTAATACTAGTTTATGAACTGTGGAAAAGGAAAAGAACAGCTGAAACCAACAGTTGGCAGAGTCTGTCAAAGTTGCGCGCACTGTTTTTAATTGGAGTGAGGTCAGCTCAAGGATGGCTGTGTAAAAATAGGTATGGCAGACACCTTACAAATGAAGCCCATGAGAAGGTTGAGTCTCAATGAGGAATATCTGTAAGGTTGTGCACCCAGGAGCATACCATAATGTTCTTAGTGAGTCTGGAACTCTTTCAGAACACTGGAGAAGGCAACCGACAGCAAGCCACTCCAGCCAGTTATCTTGAGCTACTATTTGTTTTTACTTAGTGCAGTAATGCCTGACTTTATTAAGAGATAGTTATGTACAGAATGGGAGTTTCCCATTCCCTACTAATGGGTGATGAGATTTCTGTTTGTTTTTCTGGTATCTACCCTGCTTTGCAAACTTTAAGCCTTTTCTTTTTGCCTTGAACTCAAAAGGATGGAAGTGGGTGCTGCTACATTGTTACCTGGAGTCTTTCTTTGCTGAAGGATGAGAAACTGCCTGTTTTACTTAAGGCTCTGTGGGTGGTAGCAGACATGTGGAGAAGTTGATCTGCCTGTCACTATAGCAGTGCACTCTGTAAAGGCAACCATCTGACCTGTCCTAACAGTTTAAGTCCTTAGTTTTTGTTAATTTTTCCAAACGTTCAGCACCGATTATACGGCATGTACTCAGCTGAGTACTGTTGAAGAGTCAGTGACATGTGTTTCTTCCCTAAAGGAGTTGAGAGTTTAGAAGTGGGGAAGCCTGGTTAGAGTAGATGTGAGGTGATGAAAGAGCGGTTAACAGTATGTATGTGAGGGGACATTTGCTGCTGTAGGAAGGTAACACGACTCTGGAGCCGGCGATATTAAATACTAAAAGGTGAGTTCAGGTAGGCTCTGTAGATAAATGAGAGAGCATTTAGATAGAACAGTGCTGGACAGAACCACTGCATAAAAGCCTTGCTCGCATGGACTCCTTTGGATATAGAGTGAGTCTCCAGAACTTTATCCAGAATCATGTGAGCCAATGAAAGCTGGGCTGTGCAATACTGGGCTTGAAAACTCAAGAGATGTGACCCAGCCTGATGTGGCATGCTGTACACATCTAGTCCTTGGAAAGCTGAGGCAGGAGGATCTGGAGTTGGAGGCCAGCCTTGGCTATAGGAAGAACCTGCCTAAAAAACAAGACAAAACAAAAAAACCAGACAAATTTAAAAATATAGCCTGGCAGCATACATTTTTATGCTGTGATGAAATACTCTCATATTTAAAATGATAAAAAACACAAAATAATATTCTTACTTTATTTGATGCAGTCTGATAGTTTCTATTCAATTATATTCCATTTAGTTTTCAAGAAGTGATAGTGAAGATCAACTACTTAGATTTAACAAGCCTGTGGTAGCAACTGGCAATTTGAAAAAAACATTGTTCTTGGTGGTGTGATAGGAACCATTTCGGGACTGTAGAAACACTAAGGTAAAACAATGAACTCCGCTGGGTAAAGGAAGTGAATAATGGAACAGCCGGGAAGTTCCAGCGTGGAGAGGGAGTGGCTGAGAAATGTGTCATGGCCAAGAGTCAGGCTGTGGAACTGGGAGTTTTCAAGTACGGAGGTAGTAATGTGGGAACCTGCATGGTGTGCTCAGAGAGGAGTAGGCACTCATACTCAGGGGAGCTGTGGATGAATGAGTTGGAGCGTTAACAAGAAAACTGTCCTTGTTCTTACCTTGCTGGCTTCTGTTACTGACAGTCAAGATTAAAGGCATTCACATCTCAAAAGATCAGATCTCTGTTCTGCCATTTGAGTTTTCTCTTTGTCTTGGATATTGCTAATGGAATAGAAGAACAGGAAAATGAATCCCAGATATTTCGTATTATCTGGAATCATCAGTTCCTACTATAAGGTGTAAGTGACTGTTTGAAGTAGCCCTCGTATGTTCGGTTAGGACCTGTCTAGTGAGATGTAATGTGCGGGCTTCTGTTTGTGTCGCTTGTTTTTAATATCTTACCATTTGCTCACACACTTCGTGGTGACAGTGCAATTTACAAGATACATTATGTTGTTGAAGAAACAAGATTTTCCTGGAGGTCAGAAGACTTTTTTTTTTTTAAATGAGTGATTTTAAGGTATTGTAAGAGTTCAAGTTAATTACAGAAGAATTTGTATGTAATAAGGTAATTTTAGGTAGGCTTAATCTGTGTACAAGAATTGAGAACGAAACAAAAAAATGAGATCCGTTTTTCCTTGAGACATAGGACCTTGCTAAGTAGCTCTGATTGGCTATCCCAGGGTACTGGCATTACAGGTGTGTAAAACCACATCCCATAAAACCCTTTAACCCTTCCTGAATGGTGTTATAGGAGTATAGATGAAACTCAACAGCAAAAACCCAGTCAACAGTATATGAATAAAATTGTGTATCTAAGCCGGGCGGTGGTGGCGCACGCCTTTAATCCCAGCGCTCGGGAGGCAGAGACAGGCGAATCTCTGTGAGTTCGAGGCCAGCCTGGT